TAAATTCGCATTCTGCTTTCCATGGTTTGTCGGTAGAGTCGCACCAATTTGTTTAGAAAATCAGGAAAACGGAAGAACAGCCATTGGCAAGTGTAATCAATACAAGGCAACGCAAATTGAAAGCTACTTTGTACATGAAGTTACTACACAGTATGGTAGAATGGTACATGGGTACTTTCTTGGTAGGTAGGGTACGCAGCTACCTACGATGCGAATTGCGTTGCCACATCGAGTTGTACGTAATGCCCATTGGAATTTATACTAGACAACGGCTTGACTACCGGTGAGAGTGAATAGAAAGCTGCTAGATACCAATTAATTATAACAACTACTATACTACAAGTAGTAAGTAGTGAACACTCAACGCTGAACAGAGCCAGTTTGAAGGGGAATGAAGATTATTGGAGCATAGAGGGGAGGAAGGAGGAGGGGAGAGTACTAAGTAGAGAGGAGAGGGGGCAGAATGGGACTACTAGTACTTTTAAGAGTATAGTACACAACTAACTACAGTTAGACCAAAGAAGCCTCGTAGCGAGTATCCGCCCCTTCACCCCTCTCCCAATAAGGCCCATCAGTGCGAGAGAAAGAAAGAGAGTGAGAGAGAGAGCGCTTCGAAATCAAGCCTCGCGCCCTGCGACCGCCAGTGCGTTTGCCATGTCACTGAGTAATGGAACGGACTAAGCTGGCGTTTTTGGTCCCACTTAGCCTGTCAACACGGGGCCCAAGCTGGTGCTGATTGGGCATGGATGGACTCTGGTGCCTCCGCCACTTTCGTCGGAAGAATGCTTTTAAGGCAAGCCACCGTTTGACCCGTCTCCACTGGTCCCTAGGTAATCTTGCAGGCTTGCAGCTGCGCGGGAAACCCCTTGTTCCCGCTGGCCCCGTCGTTCGATGTCCAGCCGTGATCCAGGTTCTCCGCAGCCCTCCCTCTTTTACCCAAACATACCCATTGTTACCCTCTGTTTCCCTGAACCAGAAGATGGTTCTGTGTCGATTGTACCCTATGAACTGGAATGCTTTAGTAGTATGTAGGTAGAAGTGGGTTCTCACTTGAGACTGGTAGGTGACAGGGGTAAAAATAAAGAAAAGGAAAGGAAACGAAACGAACGGCACATCGCCCTCCTCCCCTCCTCCCGAGATCACAAGTGTGAAAGACCTACTGTGTTGAAGACGATGTGAATGGAACATTGACCCATCAATCTTTGCCATATGGATACATAGTACCAGAGACAAGCGCAGAGAGAAAAGAGACCAACGCGTCTTTGGCGGCAATCAGTTCGGTTTAGCGAGTCTGGAAGCACGCCGTACCAGCACTTTTGTGGTTCCAGCCCAAACGATCAACAGTTCTTAATTAAATGGGAGCCATCGAGACCCGGAGATCGCGAAATCTCAACCGTCATCCGTGAGGGTTTAACGGGACGGTAATCAAAACCTATGACCCCATAGTATCTGCCACAGGAATAGAACTCGAAGAGCCACAGGGGACTTTGCAACCAGGCAAAATTGTCGCCGACCAAGGTTTTCGGCAACATGCGCTAGATTTTGTGAGGTAGAAAAGAAAAAAAAAAAAAAAAAAAAAAAAAAAAGAAACAAACCAAATAATAGACGAATTAGAAGGTCGTAGATACTGTGCACTATAGTGAGGTATGGTACCACCTGTTCTCCTATGGCACCATGGCGCCCCTCCTTTAGCATGCAATAGACTCGAGGCGATGGTACTAATATCATAGCAATCCAAGATCAATCCCCATACAATTGTTCTTCTTGTTTGAAGAAAGGAAAGGATCAAAACAACAAATTTGCCTACATTAGGGTTCTTGTGTTTCATGCGTCTAAGACCCGGAAGAGACAAATGCAAAAGCCTGAATGGCTCGTCTTAATTGTACCAGCTGATTGGGCGGGAGAATCTTTGCGTTCTTGCTATTACTACTACTGTACTTTGTAGTACTATTGATAAGATACCAGTATCGCCTTCTGCTTGTAACAGGGCCATTGACATGTTGACTGATGGGTTCGGAGAATAAGTGCGTCGAACTCGACAGGGATAAGGGTAGAAACCTTGCCTACACATGCTTTTGGGGGATGGGGGAAATGAACAAGAGAAAACAAGGAAAAAGCAAAAACAAGGAAAAGCAAGAAAAATAAAAGAATAACTAAGATACAGCAGAAAAGCAAAGCAAAGACCGCTCTCTAACCTCTGCTAGCCTGACGGAATAGGTAAATGGACACTAAAGACAACCTTAGGACGCACCTAGCTACAAAGTAGGAACAGAGAAGCGAAGCTTCATATTACCATTTAGAACATTAAGGGAACAGAAAAGCCCACTTACGAGAGATGAACCCGCGCTGATCCACCAGTGCAGGCTCGGCAGAGAACCATTTGCCGCCTTGTCACCTGATTGACAGCACCACGAGTGGATGTATCACTTTTTCTTTCACTCCCTTGCTGAAGCTGCCAGATCCCATAGGGACGGATCTCATCACTACAATACTCACTCATAATCTTACTTACTTTCACTTCCATCTGAATCGATCAAAAAAGGCAAGACTGTGAGGCCGCCAAATGAGTCAATTTAATTTGGTCACATCATGGACGCTCAGGCTTACCCGAAGAACGGGAAGATATTCATCATGGATGGGACTATGCTGACGTTTGGACCGATAAGGCCAGTCAATTAAGGCATGAAGTGCAGAAAGGTGGACGAGGCGAACTGGTGCTAAAAGACCCCGGATCCTAGTTAGCGTCTGGCTAGCGATATTACCTAGGACGATACTTGCCGTTCCAGGCTTGGGGTTCGTTCGCCGTTGACAGATCCATCCAGACGGTCTGGGACTAATTGGCTGGAGCAACCCATGGCCGTTGGGCCTCGGAAATTTAATTAGATTGAGCGGCGCCCAATCAAAAATACCATGAAGAAAACCGGAAATTCCACAAAAAGGTAAATGAAGAAAAGGAAAAATAACAGTAATTTGAAACAAATTGGAATAAATAAGTAACAAAATTTATTAGAACACGGGAAGCGAGTAAATGAGCTTTATACTATGGTCTTTCTCTGAAAGCACTGGATTTCTTACCATCTATTAGCACTAGTTTTGGCTCCCTAAAGAGTAATAATGACAGAAAGTCAGCCGATTCCTTCCCGTCCTTTTCCAAGTCAAAGTGAAAAGTACATTCCCCTCTCCCTTTTCGCCGTTTCGGCCGACGGGTGGTGGTTCAAAGCCTCCTCTGGGGACTTGACGCCGTCGTCGTTACGCATGCTCCCCATTATCGGCCGTTTTCGCCCTCTGGTTGGAGCTTCTAAGACCATTCCACTTCCCGGCTTAGGGCGGTGGTCTTCTCCACAGGGAGGAACCATGCTCCTCAACCGTCTAATGAGATTATTTCCTCCTAATTTTTGTTCAAGACAATTACCCTAACTAACCTTCGGGTCCTATACCGGGGTTCCCGGTTGTTCAAGGACAAGTGAAAAACAACTCCCCACCAACTACCCACTATTATTACCCACCTGTGGCTTAGACACTTGCTGCTCACTGCCCTTTCCTTCTCTAGCAATACCAGTGCTGCCCCTCCTGAGGGTTACCGAACAGTGTGCTATGCATATACTCCGTACGCAACTTCCTCTTCCCATAGACACACCCACACAAAGCACCTAAAAAGCACCCCAAATGGACCAACCAAGTTTGAGTTAGCATCAGTAGGAAAGTTCGAAGATAATGCGGTCTAAATTAAGATGCAGCACAAGGCATCTTTGACTGTTTTGCCTTCATGCGTATGCCAGGAAGTATTCCATCTTACAGCTCACAAGACATTTTTCGGGTATAAAAAGCCACAGACAGACATCCATCTACTTATACAATCTATACTTCGAAAGGACCGATCTACCTACACCCGGAGTGAACAGGAAAACGCACCTGAAAAGAGCATCGCCGTGTGTTAATACCGACTGTGTGTTAGTATTAATGTCACTCTTATAATCCACTTATATTTGTACTTGTATTTTTTTTTCTAATAGTACGTTTATGGTCATGACGACGATGATATTGACGATTATCATCATGGCCGACCTAAAAGGGACCCGCGTCCCAGCTTGAGCTTGGGTAAGTTCAGAGCAGACAGTCAACAACAAGTCTTGGTAGGAGGTGGGCAGGTACCTTAGGTAAGGCTAGGACGGAGTTGATTGCATCCATCCTGTTTCGCCAGCCAACTCACCAACCAACCAACCGAGTCATTAACATGACCGAGGCTGGGCTCGAACGTTCTTCCGGAGAGGTTTGACCGCCAGTAAGGCCCTTCCCGTCAAGTATAGTACCCGGGTGTGGAACCGTTTTGATAATCATCGCCGCGTTGATAATAATATTTTATTATTATTTTGGTTACGCCCAGTGCCGTTTCGGTTCTTGCTCAAAATGGGGAGGAGGGGGTGGGATTATTGTTGAGGGAAAGATGAATCCCATCATTTCATTATCATGATGATGATGATGATGATCGGACTGATTTATTTTATTCTATTTTTCTTCTTCCTTTTCCCTTTTTTTTTTTTCCCTTATTCCCTCCCTATTTACTTGGTTATGCGCCCATAGACAGGACTCAAGCCAATGTACCAGATAGATAAATAAATTAGTACTTTTAGATCCCACTAATGGATGTACCGCAGTATCTGATACTCTTCCGTTGTGACTTGACGGCTGGGCGTGGACCTTAAACCTTTCTGACTGACTTACTATTGGACTAATAGGCAGTGAGTGAGGAGAGGAGAGGAGGGGAGGATTAACGGCTTTCCCTCGAGGGGCAAATGAGGATTAAGGCAGAATAAGGAAACAGAATAAGTAGAATATAAAGAAGGGGAGGGGGAAGGGTAAAAAAAAAAAAAAAAAAAAAAAAAAAAAAAAA